TGGAACCGACTAGAATAATGAGAATTGGTTAAAATGTTTAAATGATAAGTTGTTTTTTTTTTTTATAAACTTGAAAAGAAGTTGCTCTTTGAAGATAAAGTTCTTTTTAAATAAATACTTTTAAATTAAAAGTTCAAAAGAAACTTATCAAAACGTATTTGGGGAAAAAAAGTATCTTATGCAAATGTAATTTAAAAAAAGAAAAAAGAAAAAGAATATCACTGTTTGAATCTCTTAAAGATGAGATTTTACAACAGTAAATTTAATCTTAAAAAACTCACAAGGTAGAGACATTTGTTAGGAAGGGATGATAAAAAAATTCGACAAGTCTGATACCCACAGGCCCCACCCTGAATGGGGCAGGGATTACCCGTTTAATCGGGTATTCGGGTCAGGGGCGAAGCGGAAAATTTTGCCCCGGGGTGGGTTCGGGACATGGACGGGGTGCTCCGTCCCTTTTATTTTTTAGAATTCAATACTTTGAATAGAAAATTTTACGAAATTTCATTAATTCTAATAGAAAATGGCAACTACAATTATTTGTCTCAGTTTAATGAATTGGAGCAATAAAATAAATTATCAAAAACTTAAAAAAAAAAAAAAATTAACGGGGTAGTACAAGGCAAGGGCATCGCCTCGCCTCGCCTTAAATGGGTAACGAGGAAGGGACGGGGCGGGGAATTGCTTGGCGTGGTCTTTCCCGTCCCGTTGACATTCCTATTGTTAGGTGAGAGAAGAGTAACAAGAGGCCATTGAAAGCTCATTTATCCCCCTTTCGCTCCCCGTCTCGTTGTCATCCCTATTGTTAGGTGAGAAAAAAGTGACAGGAGGCCATTGAAAACTCATTTGTCCATGAAAAGTAACAAGAGGCCATTGAAAGCTTGAGAGAAAAGTGACAGGAGGTCATTGAAAGCTCATTTGTCCATGAAAAGTGACAAGAGGCCATTGAAAGCTCATTTATCCCCCTTTCTCTCCCAGCTTAGTTGTCATCCCTATTGTTAGGTGAGAGAACTCAGAAAAGTGACGGGAGGCTATTGAAAGTACCCTCCACAAATTCTTTATTGCACAAATATTTCGGTTTTGCGGCAGTGAGGGCAAAATGGGAATGGCAAATTATTTTCTCGCCATAGTTCATGCAAAAGTCAAGTCAGAAGAGATTTTTGGCTCACACTTGCATTGAACATCAATCAATGAGACCCAGCTGATGAAAATGAAAATGTGCCTGTTTACAATAACGGGAATGATATTACGACGACTATAACTTTATTTACAGAATGTCATGTTGCATTATGTTATTAAATAATTTTAATAAAAAATTTATTTTCGCAATTAATAGTTTTCTGTCAACACAATTGTCAACAAAGTTGTCGTACGAGTCTCAACTCTCAATCAACGTGTATATGTTAAAAAATAAAAAAAAGTTACTAGCTTATTTTTTAAGCCTAACAAAACATTCTTAACTTTTAAGATTAATTTTACTAAATTATAATTCTGTCAAGAAGACTGGCCCTGAAAATCTCGAGATTTGCAAGCCAGAATTAATATGTTCTTATCTTTTAAGATTAAGAATATATTTTTGGCCACAGCTGGATACTGAAATGGGAAAGGAAAGCGATACATCAGTCAAATGTTTTACACTAAAGAGAAGGGAAAATTGGACTACTAAAACTTTCACTTTTATGCATTCCTTTACTTTCTTGCATTCACGATGCCAAACCTTATAGAAACTCGCATGTCCACATGGATGAAAAATGTTATTTTCACTGTTGGTTGACCAAATAATTGACATTGACAATAATTTTAACTAATTTTAAAAAGTTAAAATGGTAACTTCACATTTTTATAATAAAATAACTAAAATCAAATAATTAAAATTGAAAACCAAATAACTTCTCCCACCCCACCCCATATGCCCTAAAACCACCACCACCTCTATTAGACGGCTCTACCGCACCCATCCGGCTCCTCCACCTCCATCACACCACAACAACATCTCCATGAGGCTGTTTGCAGGGACGAATCATGTCCGCGTAATGGCTTTTGGAGTCATTGATGTGAATCATGAAGATGAAACTTACGATGGGAATGTAAACTTCTTTTTTCTTGGAAGAAAATCATTTCCTTTTTGATATAAGCGTTACAACATTTCTTGAAGGATAATATGTGGTATAGATTTTTGTGTAAAAGAGGGAAAAAGTAAAAATCTATTGAATACCTGTCAATCTGATGTATTGGAAGGCCATCCTTTCACTTTTAGAGAAGCCAAATGGTTTATTCAGCCAATTATTTTCGTGGTATCCTCAATTTATCTTAGCTTGTTCATCTTGTATATTTCTATGCAAATTGTATTTTTATGTCAAAAGTCGAATTTTATCATGCGGACAATTGGGTTGTGGTGGTTGTGGATTTGATGTGGAGATATTGTGATGTGATTGAGGTGGAGGCGGCGGAGGTGGCGCCGACTTTGGGTGGGTGTGGTGTAACCATCTAGTAGTGGTGATGGTTTTGGGGCTGGGGCTGGGTAGGGGGTGGATGGAGAAGAAGAAATTATTTTATTTTTGGTTTTTAATTTTAATTATTTGATTTTAGTTATTTTATTATAAAAATGTAAATTTATCATTTTAACCTAATCAAAATTATTGTCAAGGTCAACTATCTGGTCAATTAACAGTCAAACTAACATGTTTCATCTATTTGAATTTCATGTGCGAGTTTTTACAAGGTTTGATACCGTAGATGCAATAAAGTATAGATTTGGATCAAATCTGGATAAAGCGTGATATTGTGACTGCAATTTTCTCCTAAACAGTATGTACTCATCATCACTTCGTGGAACACATTTGCTTTCCATTACACGTGAAGCGCATTATTTTAAGCACCTCTCATTTTCATCATTGCAACATCTTTGGTAGCTTTTTTATTTCTAAAAAATAATTTATACATAATTGCGAACATCTTTAAATTGGTTGATTGGTTACTGTCCGGGAGATTTCGACACCCTCTTCTTCTGGCCCATCTTTTATCGATGTTGTATTTTAGCTAAATATGGTTATTTGTTCCAAATACGTCCCCTTGCTGGTTAATGTCATCCATGAGCTCATAGAGTTCTGTGTAAGCAAGATGACGCACGACTGATGACTAACATTATTTGAGCTGAAATTTGGTGCCAAATCATTCATATCCATACTTACGTTGACTTTGCAACTTGTGAGTGAAAAGGGAAGATATGGAAATTGAAAGTTTGGTTGTTGTTGCACCTTACAGAGATTGTAAACGCGATGGTGGCAGAGAAGGATGAAGTGAGGTGGGTTGGAAAAGATGTTAAAGCGGGGCGGGTTGAGGAAGAAAATAAAGTTTCAAATGTTTGGAATTGTGAATATTATATATAAAATAATTTGGTGTAATTTACAAAAAAATAAAAAGTTTGAGTACTATAATTGCAATTATTCCTTTTTAAGTTTAACATTTTTTTACTGTTTTTTAACTAACAGATCTCGACGATAAGAGGGTATTTCGAACAAAAAATTTAAAAAAGAGGGATTTTTTGCGATTTTCTATAGGTATGAAAGTATCTCGCACATTGACAAGTTTCTAGGGGGTTTTCTGCTATTAATCCATTTAAAATATAGAGCAGTTTAAATTTAAATAGTTTCTTGGAGATGAGACTATTTTATCAAGCAAGTCATCAATTATGCATAAACAACTTTTCCTATGATTACTAGTAACGAGAAATAATATCAGAAGTGACAATTAGGCCGATGCTAGCTCTGGACGGTTGGATCAAGGGATTGAATCCTAGTCGTTCATCTAGAGTACAAAAAGATCCTTTATGAGATTCTTTGAGAGATTGATATGGTTAATTGGTTATTTTAAAAAGATTGATAAATTGAGTGTTGTATGGTTTGCTTGGTTATCTGTTAACAGTAATCCTCACTGATATTCATATAATACACAAATAATAGTCATAAATTAGTAAAGTATTATTGGTTGAATTTTAGATAAATAATTCAACTTCAATTGTCAGTCAAATAACGGGTGCTGAACAACTCTAATACATTATAGAGTTGTTATAATTTAAAATGCGATATATATATGGGCTAAGGCCACATGGGCCCTGAATGTCTAGCTATGTCAACGAGTCAAGTCGAGTCGAGTCGAGTTAAACCACGAGTCGAAACTCAAAGTTCGGGCTCGGCTCGAGCAAAACAGGTTCGAATTTTTTTTTTGGACCCGAGCCAAAAAAATGAGGCTTGGTCCGAGTTTTCGGCTCGTGTTTTTTTTAAAAAAATTCGTTATAAATCTATAATTTTTTTATAATCTATTTAAAATTTGTGCACTTTATGCACGTTATAAATAATAACTAAATATTAATATATAAAACAATACATTTAAACTTAATTTTTTTATATTACTTAGTTATGGGCCGGCCGAGTTGGGCCCGCTTGAGCTTTTTTCGGATCGAGCCAGAACAAACGAGCTTTTTTGTCATCCCTACATATGACGTCCACTTTGGTTGGTGGAGTGATAGGGTCCATGTCACTCTAGAAAAATCATTTTTTATTAGCGTTTCTCTACGACTTTTGATACTTTGACCAAATAGTGATAAATAAAAAATGAAAAAAATTGTGTTTGTTAATATCTATGCACTACCTAACAAAAAGCAAACACATTTTAAACATAACTTTATTAGTAATGACCTTCCTACCAATTCAATTACATTTAATTATTATAAATATTTTTTTATAATTACTCATTGTAAGATGTCACACATACATAAATTATTCATGCAAAAAATTTCGTTTTAATTATTATTTTGGAATGAGAAATTTGCTTGCTTTTAATTGATTACGAAAGCCTGATGACGTTGTACCACAGATCTAGTGTACTTCCATTAATCTTTATCACATTATAAATGCATTCTTATTTTCTTGTAAAGTTCTATCAAAAATTGCCAATTGCCACTCCCCTTCACACCCCAGACGCCATTGCCGCAAGAAATCATGGACCAATTGAAGCCAAGTTCTACCAATTCAAGCCCACTAACACCCATCGGATTCCTGGAGAGAGCAGCCACTGTCTATGCCGATTGCCCATCAATTGTTTATAATTCAGCCACCTATTCTTGGTCGGAAACTTATGTCAGGTGCTTGAAATTGGCATCTTCAATTGTATCGTTGGGAATCAAGAGAGGCCAGGTGGTTTCTGTGTTGGCGCCAAATGTCCCTGCCATGTACGAGCTTCATTTCGCCATACCTATGGCCGGCGCAGTTCTTAATACCATCAATCTCCGCCTCGATGCACGCACAATCGCCGTCATCCTCCGCCATGCCGAATCGAAGCTTGTGTTTGTTGATTGTCAATCAGAATCTTTGGTTGTTGAGGCCTTGTCTTTATTCCCACCGAATTCTCAGCGTCCTCTTCTTGTTTTTATATCTGATGATGAATTTAAATCCCCTGATTTATATAGGAATTATGAGGGCATGGTCCATGATGGTGATTCGAATTTCAATTGGGTACGCCCTGAAAGTGAATTTGATCCTTTAACGCTGAATTACACCTCCGGAACCACCTCTTCGCCAAAAGGAGTAGTCCATAGCCACCGTGGGGCATTCATTGTTTCAATGGATTCGTTGCACGGGTGGTCAGTGCCAAAAGAGCCGGTTTACCTGTGGACTCTGCCCATGTTTCACGCCAATGGCTGGAGCTACACATGGGGGATGGCAGCGGTGGGCGCCACCAACGTCTGCGTCCGGAAATTTGATGCGACTGTCATTTACACCTTGATACGTAATCATAAGGTAACCCACATGAGTGGTGCACCCGTGGTGCTTAACATGCTATCAAATGTTCCAGATGGCAGTAAAACGCTAGAAAGCCCAGTTCACGTATTAACAGCCGGAGCGCCGCCGCCAGCGGCGGTGCTGCTCCGAACTGAATCGTTGGGGTTTATTGTGACTCATGGGTATGGATTGACGGAAACTGGAGGTCTGGTTATCTGTTGCTCGTGGAAGCAGAAGTGGAACAAATTGCCTGCAACCGAACGGGCCAGGCTCAAGGCCAGACAGGGAGTTAAGACTCCTGGAATGGCTGAAGTTGATGTGATTGACCCTGAATCAGAAAAGAGTGTCAATCGGGATGGCAAAATGCTGGGTGAAGTTGTGCTGAGAGGAGGTTGTGTAATGCTAGGATACCTCAAAGACCCTCAAGGCACCTCAAAATGCATGAAGAATGGATGGTTTTACACAGGCGATGTTGGTGTTATGCACCCTGATGGGTACTTGGAAATCAAGGACAGATCAAAGGATGTCATTATTAGTGGTGGGGAGAATTTGAGCAGTGTGGAGGTTGAATCTGTTCTGTACACGCACCCGGCGATCAACGAGGCTGCGGTGGTGGCGCGGCCGGATGAATTCTGGGGTGAAACGCCCTGCGCTTTTGTGAGCTTGAAAATTGGGGTGAAGGAAAAGCTGACGGAAAAAGACGTGATGGGGTTTTGCAGGGCAAAATTGCCCCACTACATGGTGCCAAAGACGGTTGTTTTCAAGGATGAGCTTCCCAAGACGTTCACTGGAAAAATTCAAAAGTTTGTGCTCAGAGAAATGGCCAAGAAGATGGGGTCGACCAAGACGAGTAGGCTCTAGTGAGTTGCGAGGGAGTCAACTCAGTCCGGGTTGAGACGTAAAAAGTAATTCAATTTATAGTACTTGGGAAATTCCGGCACAAAATTTCATGCCAGTTAAAGTAAAAGGTCAATAAATAACTTATACTGCTATTTGGCCAGGCTTTGAGCCTGGCACAAAAACAGGGCGCTCCCATATTGAAGGAGGGGGGCCCTGCTTCTTGGCCTGGCTTTGAGCCGGGCCAATATATGCTGTCGTTTTCTCTGTTTTCTATGAGTATTTTCGTTGATGCTGACATTCATGTATATTACTAAGAGTAGTGCTAGACGTATAGAAAATTCTTACCAGAAAGTCACCAGATGAGTATAAAATATTTATTTTGCCCTTGATGAAATATGTTGCAGGTTAAATTCTGTATCTTTTAATTGTTGGATCGTTCAGGATTATATCTTACAATTCTTCCGTTTGGATCGTAGGTTCTTAGAGTTAATCCTGGGAATCCTAGTTCCGTATTTTCTTATTACCAAATCAAATATTGTTGTTGCTCGTATTGATGATATCTTATAGTTTTTAAGATTTTATCTCACATTTCTGTATTATTTTCTATTTTAAGTTCTTCAATGAGTTTCCTAATGTCTCTAGATCTTAATTCACTAATATTATCTTGGATTCTTCCAAATCTTTCAATATCTTCTCTTTCCTCTTGATTCATTAATCAGAATTACTATTTATATGATATTCTTTTAACCTGTCTATTTGTTTTAAATATTCTCTATATTTTGTTAATTTTTCAAAAACTCTAGTTTGATTTTCTTCAGTTATATATTCAAAAACAATTCCTTCTGAAACTTCTTATTCTATATTTTCGTATTTAGCTATAACATCTTCAATCTTCTTTATTTCTTTACTAGTTTCTACAGAATCAATTCTTATATTATGTTTACAAGCATAATCTATATCAAAATATATGTCTTTAAGTTTTTCTTGGCCAACATGAATTATATTTTTAGATTTTTCAACTATACT